CTATAGGACACAACCCAACAGCCCAGTACGACCCGTCTGATTTTTCGTCCTTTTCATCGGGCTCTGTTTCCGTCAACCCCTGCCAGCCCCGTTTGCGTCGACCCCCGTCGCCGCCGGAGCTTAATTGCTCGACCCCAGCCCAGCAGTTCGTACTCTCCGTCGATTGATTTGCAGGTAATGAAGTTTGATTTGTTAATTGCTGCACTGTTTGTGTGTCTGAGTTAATTATTATAGGCTTATAACCGAGCAGAGGAGAGTGTTGGATACTTTCTTCAAACATGACAGATGTTTCAACTTCGAGTTTCCAATTGAAGACACGACGACGTTCCACTGCAGGATTCCTTTTCATATCACGCCACCGTTTTCTCTTCAAGCTTCACCTCCTCAAAACGACGATGCGGAAACCTTATCTCTTCAATGGGTCGTCCCTTTCCTTCATCGCTTCCAGACATCCTCATTCAAGCTCATCTGAGAAATGCTCCCAAAAAGCATATCAACTTTCTCGATGCTCCAAGAACAGCTAGCGCCTTGAGCTTCTCAAAAGTCATCCTACCACAATGGATCTATCGGCGCATCTTATTTAAACACTCATTCCTGTCTGGAGACTTCACCGTTTAACAACCAGTCAAGCGCATGCAAGGATTGTAGAAGGGTTCCTCAATCGATCCATTTTTCAGTCTTCTCATCTACAAGTGAAGGGGTCTTCTAAGTAGATAGAAGTGTGAAGTCGGGTGTTTTGGTTCAAGTGTTCTTGGGATTCCTTTATTTCCCATGTTTTCTTTCTTTTCATCCTTCATCCTTGCTCTGATTCCTTAGAAGATAGCTTTCTGTAATTCCCATCAAAAGCAGTCATAATGACTGCAGATTAGCTTTTCCTTTTTAATCTACAAGTATCCTCTTTCCATTTCTCATCTGTTGATCCAATTCAAAACCCTATATGGCTATATCAATCCTCTAATTCTCATAGAGCAGGCGTGTGAGTGTTGCAGGCTTGCAACCAAGCAGAGGAGTAAAGTCATGTGTTGTTATATATTTATATTTTGTTTTGCTTAATCGATTAACCTCACAACATCAAAATTTATTTATTAATCTGTTCTATTGTGGTTTGCTTTTGGATTTTGCAGCTATGCTGGCTGTGTATGTTATTGCCGAGAGCAAAGGAGATGTTTTGTTCTTAAATAGGTAGTAGCTATTAGCTAGCAAGTCCAGCAGGCAGAACGGGTATCCGGCTAATAACCGATACCGCATGAATTCGGTATTCGGTTTACCGAGTTAAGTTCGATATCGGCAAACGGTGGAGTTGTGATGATGTCCGGTATACCGGTAACCGGTCAAACGGTAACCGGTTTAACCGATTACCGACCGTTTACCAGCCCTAATTGGAATGCTATAGAGAGGGCCATGAGATACCTCAAGAGAACAGCAAACCTTGATATACACTATCAAATGTTTCCTGTTGTACTAAAAGGGTATAGTGATGCGGATTGGAATACCCTATCAGATGACTCCAAGGCAACCAGCGGATATGTTTTTAACATCGCTGGTGGAGCTGTGTCTTGGAAGTCAAAGAAACAACAATCCTAGATCAATCAACTATGGAATCAGAGATGATAGCACTAGCAACGGCTAGTGAAGAAGCAAGTTGGTTGAGAGGATTGTTGTCAGAGATTACCCTATGGGAAAGGCCGGTCCCTCCGGTATTGATACATTGTGATAGTACCGCAGCTATCGCCAAAGTTGAGAACTGGTTCTATAACGGAAAGAAACGACAGATTCGTCGTAAGCACAATACTGTAAGAGAACTCCTAACGATAGGAGCAGTGAGGGTGGATCATATAAGATCCGAACAGAATCTAGCTGATCCATTGACGAAAGGATTACCTAGAGAGAAAGTCCAGAATACCGCCAAGGGTATGGGTCTTATGCCTACCGAACCACGGACTACAAGTGATGGTAACCCGACCCAATAGACTGGAGATCCCAAGAAATGGGTTCAATGGGTAATAACAAGTCATGAGTAGTATGCGAAAAGTTCATGCATAGTGAAGCATGAATCCCAAAGCAATGTAGGTTGAGTTAATAACTCTTAATGAGATCTATACCCTATGTGGGGTGGAGTACTTTACTTTGGGGGTACTCCTGATAGACTCACCTGTGTGAATGTGGGAGTGGGGCCGCTCCCTATGGAACTTTGGAGGCACAAATTTGCTAGAGCGTTCACTAAACCAGGATAACGTGCATGGCCATAAACGCACGGGCTAAGAAGAGAACACAACTCAATGAAAAGATCCGGTGTGCTACACTGTCTGAGATAGGGTTCAAGACTACGAGTCACCCTTATGAAATCGGAAGTGTAACCACTACGCTAAAGTTCAAATCTTCGCGATACCTTAGCTTATGCCCGATCTTATGGAACTGTTGATGCTCATAGATAGTTTCAAAACTATTCAAGTGGGGGATTTTTGGAAATGTGTATGAATAGCTTTGAAAGCTATAGAGTCTCAAGAGGAAAAACTACCACATTGGTAGTTTTACTTGGTGAAATGTGTATAAAGATAGGAGCCTCTCTCCTAAGGGCATGCCCCTTGGGGTGACCCACTTTTGTGGGAGAGGGAGGACCTACCGGTCGGTCGGTCGGTCGGTTGGTTGGTTGGTTGGATGGATCACTTGAGACTATATACATATTCTTTGGAGAAATTCCGAACGAAATTAATTATCTAATAATTAATTATTAATCGGTTATTCTGAGGAATATTCTAAGAATAATCGATTAAAAAGGAATATTCGAAGGATAATCCCGCAGGATTTATCTTAACCGACGGTTTTAATTAAGGAAGTAATTATCTTCCTTAATTAATCCGACTTATTCCCCAAGAAAGAGGGTATATTCCTAGGGGTTCGGCTCCTATAAATAGCCGCCTCCCCAGCCCCTCTAAACACACCACAACGAGCATAAACACAATAGAGAGAGTGTTCAGAGAGCTCCGGTTTTCGCACAAAACCGCGAGTACACAGAGGAGCTGTTTTATCCTGGAGACGACCGGTTGATAGTCTGTCGTGCGCATCGAGGGCAGTGCCACAACATCTTAAAGAGAGCGACCTAGTCCGCGACTCAGCTCCAGATTCGGTAACCTCGTTCTTGTTGTTGTTCCGTTCCTAACAGTTATGGGTTGGGCTGTTGATTACTCATATGTTTAATAAATTGTATATCTCACCTCATATGTTTTTTTAAAACTTTGAGTATACGAGCAAGATGACATGAGATAAGTTAATCACATGTTTTATATATTACATATATATATGTAAGGGTATTTAATTCATAAACTCACTTAGAATTGAGATTGAGCCGAACTCTCGATTCGACTAAGCTCAACTCATTGATATATTAGCCAAGTTCAAACTCAACTCGCTTATTAATAAACCAAACCTAAACAAGGCAAAACTCTGCTCGACTCTGCTCATTAAATATCAAGGTCAAATCAACGGGTTAATTGCACCGTATAGCATATAAGTATCCTTTTCGTTGCACAAGAACCACTTAACATTTTTTTGTTGCAACTAAACCATAAAACTTAAACTTTAGTTGCATCATTACATTTTCAGTCCGTAAATTTAACAGTGGGTACCAAATTTTAATTTTCCATTCCACGTTGGCATTCCAACTCAATCTATTTGCTCTGTCTAACTATTTTTTTACTATTAAATTCACCTTCTCCGCCAATTTTCCTCTCTCTACTACTCTGTTTTTTTCTTTTGTCCTTCAACCTGCAATATGGGTCCTTCATCCCAGTTCACTGGCTACCTCTTTCATATATATGGATAGGATTTTCAACCTTTTTCCGGCGACCTCTGCCACGCAACTCCTCGAGGAACAAGCTTAGTTTTGGCCACACATTTGACAATCTCAAGCTCGCTATCTTCTTCAAGACATGACTGATGGACGCAACTTGCCGTTTTCTACCTTCCCCTCGCCGATAACGGCCACGAGATCTAGATGCACGAAAATGAGCGATGGGTGCCATCGCTAGTGATAGAAAAGCTTATGACGTTCTCAAACTTGGGATCGCCGATGTCAAGTATAAAAGTTACACCTCCCAAATCCCAAGTGAAGACATGCTCTGATTTCCCCCTCTACCTTTGTTCTTGGCAAAAATCAACTTCTGGATATCATTCTTTTGCTTGTCATGATTTTATAGGGTGATTTTCATGAGTATTCAAACAAGGCAGCCACAATTCGCGGATTAATTAGATTCTTATCTTCTAGTTTCTATAATTTTTTAAATCCAATCTCCCTATTATTCTGTTCATGATCTTCCAGTTCTGGATTTTAGTTTTATTGCAAGTTAGATATGAGAATCAAGGAATTTATTCAACCTTCTAATTTCTCTCTTCCTGCACCCTTGTTTTGCAGATCTCCAAGATTATGGTTTCTCTCTTCATGTTATGAATTTCTTTACTATAAATAGTTAGGCTCTGTTTTTGTTTCATTTTTGCTCTCTATTTTTCTGTGTTGACAATTGGGTCTCCGCCAACGCTCCTCAAAAAGTTATTCGGCGACAGTGAAGCAAGAATCGAAAGAAGAAGCGATCATAAAGTGGGTTGGAGCCTGGAGGGAGTCGATGGCGCATCTGAACCAAAGCCTAGAGTTGGACGAACAAGGACAAATGCGGTGCGTTGTGCAACGAGGAGAGGGAAATTCAACAATTCCAAATGAGACACCTGAATCTTTGTGGCCCATCAAAAGCTGAGCTGGAACGCCAACATGGCGAGAAAAAGTACAATTTGATACTCACAGTTAAGTTTAAGGACGGAAAATATAACGAAGCAACTAAAAGCTTACTTATGTGGTTTAGTTGCAACTAAAACCGGTTAAATGGTCATCATACAACAAAAGTAATACTTATATGGTACGCGGTGGAATTAACCCTCAAATCAACTAATAAAAATTAGACATATTTAATATTTTCACATCTCGATATCAAACGCGGCCTTAAGAAAACTCGTTGAAGCCGCAACGGCCAGTAATCCACTTTACCCAAAAGCTAGCCTCCATCTGTACTGTACTCGAGGAGGCGGGCCGTAGCGCGTGATTCTGAGGCCGAGGAATCCGATTTCATCGGCAAATGATCAGAGTCCAAGCCAGTCTGTTCGGAATCTTCAGCGCACGACTAAAAATCAGCAACTTTCTCCAATTCCCTTCTTGAGCTGGGGGCGACCTCATATTCCCATCCACCTTCGCTCCTCCTACTCCTCCGTCACCAACCAAAAATGGAGGAACCCCACATCGAGAGGATGGCGGCTCCACCGGTGAGGAAGAGATCGCTGATTATGCAGCCGATACATTGGTTCAGAATGTTAGGTGAGGAACTCCATTGGAGTCTCGTGATGGGGGTTATCGTGGTTTATGGGATTAGTCAGGGTTTTGGAGTTGGGCTCGTCCGAGTTAGTACACAGTACTACATGAAGGATGATCAAAAGCTACAACCCTCTGAAGCTCAGCTCTTTTTTGGCCTCCTTCAGCTGCCATGGATTGTGAAGCCTTTGTGGGGTCTCCTCACTGATACTCTCCCTGTTCTTGGCTACCGCAGGCGCCCCTATTTCATTTTCGCAGGTCAAAACCCATGTTTCCCCCAATTCAATTATGTACTTTTCGTCTTCTTTAGCTGCCAAATTGAACTGTTAACAACGTTGAGTATGTAAAGAAGGCTTGTTGAGAAGGGTTGATTGAAAATTGAAATTCAATTTCAGGTTGTCTTACTGCTATATCAATGCTGGCGGTGTCACTGCAGCCAAACTTGTCGCTTGGATATGCCATGCTTTTTCTGATGTCAGGAAGTACTGGGATGGCGATTTCGGATGTTACTATTGATGCCTGTGTAACGCAGAACAGTGTAACTCACCCAGCTCTTGCTGGTGATATGCAAAGCTTGTGTGGGCTCTCTGCCTCTATCGGGTCTCTGGTCGGCTTCTCACTCAGTGGCTTCCTGGTTCACCTGGTTGGACCTACGGTCAGTTTCTTACGAACATTGTGGGTTTACTGTCTAGGTTGATTGCCAAATTTAGCAACTTTACGGCTAAAGAATTTTAGTTACTCAACAAGATCCATGCTATTGCTTATTGTGCTATTCGAGACTTGTTTGGCTTGTGTGTGTGCATAAGCTTTTGGGTTGTGCTTAACATAATGCCATTAACAATCACAATTAGGAAGGTGCAAGTGACACCTTTAAGTTTGATTAAGTGGCATAATTTAAAGTATGACCTTAACGTTCCCTTAGTCCAGAGGTAAAGCCACCGAATGTTGCATTCAAGGTACTTGGGCAGATTAGAAAGAATTGTATGCTGTTTTGCTTGTCACTCAAGCACTAATGTGCTTCAAGTGATGCTTTCTCTTTTATAGCTTCTATAGAAACCATCTTTATGCTTTAAAATGTTCTAATTGCACCTTAAGTTGTTTGGAATTAGATTGTTTGCGCTTGATGAAGGAAGTGTAACTATAAACTTCTTGTTTCTCAACTGACATGCTCTTCCTGACAGGGTGTGTTTGGGTTTCTGAGTTTTCCAGCAGGCCTAGTCGTTTTGGTTGGGATGTTGTTACGCGAAGGCAATTTACAGCGATCTGTTCACAGAGGGGTAATATTGTTATGTCTGTTTCATTCCCTTCTGTGGCTCCTAAAATGTATTATTGCACTATTGTACACTTACTGAAGAAGCCATTACTCAGGTACATGAGAAGTTCGTGGATGCTGGTAAAGCAATGTGGAGAACACTAAAATGTCGAGAAGTGTGGAGACCATGCTTATTTATGTTCTTGTCCATCTGTGTTAGCTTACATGTCCATGAAGGAATGTTTTACTGGTATACTGATGCAGAGGGAGGTCCATCTTTCTCACAGGTACCTTCATATTTTATCAATTACGTTGTAATCTGCTTCCAGTTTATCAATTTACCAACTTCTCAATCAAATACACTCATAGTATGTCTAAGTCTTCATATATGGTGCACAGCAGGGTAAACTTATCCTCTTTTATACTTCCTGCAGGAAATTGTTGGATCTATATTCTCATTTGGTGCAATTGGCTCTCTCTCAGGGGTCCTAATCTACCAAAATTTTCTGAAGAACCATCCCCTTCGCGACATAGTTTTTTGGTCTCAGCTATTATTCAGTCTATCTGGGTTGCTCGACTTGATGTTGGTTCTTCGTATTAACTTGAAAATTGGTTTCCCTGATTATTTCTTTGTTGTAATCGACGAAGCTGTTTCTCGTATGATTGGGAGGGTCAAGTGGATGCCTCTTCTTGTACTTAGTTCCAAGCTTTGCCCTCCTGGTATAGAGGGCACCTTCTTTGCTCTTCTCATGTCAATTGATCATATCGGTCTTCTCTTCTCTACATGGCTAGGAGGTCTACTCTTGCATATGTTGAATGTCACCAGGACACAGTTTGACAACCTTTGGTTTGCCCTTTTGATCCGAAGCATGATGAGGCTGCTCCCTGTTGCTCTATTATTCCTTATCCCGAGGGCTGATCCCAATTTGTCAGTTCTTCCGGCAGAGATGTTGAAGATGAAAAAGGGTGATGATGACCAGAAGAATACTGAGATGGCTTCCCTTATTGATGGCAGTTGAAGTAGGGAAGAATAATGACTCATTTGCTTAGAGATCACAGTTAATGCAGGTCCCTTTACAATGACAGGGACCCCCAGACATTAAAGCTGGAACCCTCTGGTATGACCCAAAACACCTTTTCTCGGCATCTTCCAGTGTGATACATGATCAATCGACTTGGGGAATGACATGGTTTTATCATATATTCTGTATTCCAAATTGTTGTTGCCATAGTAGGGAGAATGTCCAGTATAGAGTTCAATTGCATTAGTCAATATAGAATCTGCGAATCCTGCACAATTCCTTGGAACCTGATTTTTTGGTTCCTGTTGTAAGTTGTATAACTTTTGGATTCCAGATCACTACTGCTCTTGTACTGAGCGATATATATACACTTGACTCCAGTAGAAACATGGAAGTTACTATTTTGTCTTCCAGATTTACCACTGCTCTTGTACTGAGCTATCACATATTGACCGCTTACATGGAAGGCATGAAACAGACCGGGCGAGAGAGGGGAAAGAAGCAACTTGCTTAATGAATTTCTCTGCCAATTGAAGCAAACTAATTGGCATTGTATTTTAGAAGAAGAAATAAATGCATATTCACAAACCCACACCCCACCTCTTGACATATCACGTAACCAATAAATATTCTAAAGCATTTTCTCTCCCTCGCATCAGCTGAAACTGCAAGCTTCTGCTGCAAATCCCACCATTGACTCTTTTGTATCATAAACAACCCTCTGGTTTCTCTGCTGATAGTTCCCCACTATCCCAATCTCATATTCATAGGCAAGACTTGCCATCGCAAGGCACACCTGAGATGCATCCGCCTTGACAAAGTAGAAAACCCCTGTTAAGTCAACCTCCAGCTTCACATTCCCTTCAAAGTTCATGCTAATGGTAGGGACATCAATCTCCTGATACCCTGTCAGGTTGAAGCAAGTGTCCAGGATCGAAAAGCCAGGAGCAGTTGGAACACCAGAGAATTGCCTCAGAAACTCTGCCTTCACAGCACTGTAAACTGAAGGAGGAAGCCTTGTTATGACTGTTCCAGAATCAATCAGAATCCCAGATCCGAATCCGGAACCCTGGAGATCCTTTCCGCCTATGGACAACCCAGTAAGGTTGAGGAAGTAGAAAGTTGGGAGCTGGGGATTATTGACCATTCTGGTATAAGAAATTGGGGTGAAGTTGCTGTAAACTGAAGTATTGGGACCAAATGCTAATGAGCCAGTAGCATCAGGTGCTGTTGTTGGCAAGCAGTAGGAGAAAACACCACTGTAAATGGATTCAGATTGAGAGACCAACGAAAGCTGGCTCCTTCCCATCCCCATTAATCCTGAAGCTCCTCCAAACAAGCCCTTATTGTTCCTTCCACAACCAAACACGAAATTACTGACTGGTTCAGTTTGACCTCCTAATTTCAGCTGTTCAGTGGCTAGATCGCCTCCCGTGTAGGAGCCATCCCCATAGCTAACGTAATAGTTGCAGGTTTGCTGGTTTCTGCCACATGCGCCCGAGTTGCCAGTTGCAAACTGAAGGGAGTCGCAAGCTGATGAATTGCAGGGGATTCTGCGGAAAGAAGGAGAGATGGAAGGGTTGAATAGAGGGTCCTTCTGGTTGTAACAGAATCTGCATGGCTGGCATTGAACCCATGTCAAGTCACTTCCAGTGTCCATTATCACTGTAAGCTGCTTCCCTCCGAGTTGTACTGTGACTATGTAGTTGAGGGTTTGCAGCTTTATTCCTGAAGCCAATGGGATTTGAGTTGTTGTTGTTGGCATCGCAGTGTCTTGTTTCACAAGAGAGGTGGTGTTTTTAATCCGAGACTGAATTGATTGGACTCTGACATTGTCTAGTATTAGGGTTCTTTTTAGCTTCTTGCTCAAGTCTTGGATTGTGTGCGGCTTTCCTGATGATGAGCAGGAATCTCTGTGCTTCATTTCCAGGATGGTTGCTCCCTTTTCCTGTCCTGGAAACAAAGAAAGTATTTTGAAAGGCTTGAGTAACAGAAACTGGAGATCCCAAAGTTGGGGAACAGAATACTAATTGGAGAATCTTTTTTTCTTTTTTTAAGGTAAAGCTTATTGTTCAAAGAGAGGGAAAAGATACGATAAAAAGGAGAGTTAAGGTATAAAGTGATGTCCAATCATCACCATTAATGAATGAAGTAATCATTTTTTTCTCTTTACTGAGGGAAAAAGAACAGAACTCTTACTTGATTTCTGGGGAAGGCATGAGCTTGAAGAAGAAGAAGAAGAAGAAGAAGAAGAAGAAGAAGAAGAAGAAGAAGAAGAAGAAGAAGCAGAATCATGGAAGCTGCTGTTCAGTAGCAGCTGCTTCCACTGGTTGTGCTCTTCCAACAGATTAAGGAGAGGAACTCTCTTCCCCACGAAAACACCACCATTGCTAGAGCTGAAGCTTGGCTGCAGACAGACGAGAAACAGCAGCAGCTTGATGATGGTAATGAGAGAAGACATGATTCTTGTTTCCACCATTGATGTATGAATACTGAAACTATATATAGTATACTTGATACCACCACACCAGCAAGCAAGTGGAAGAGAAGGAAAAGAAAACAAAATGTGGTGCTTGGAGAGAGTAGTGGTGAAGGAGAGAGAGAGGGGGGAAGGGAGATTCTTGGGTGAGTTGGAGTTAGGGAAGAGAACAAAAGAAGAATGGCTGGCTATAGCTGATCTCTAAGCAGGCAGTAGTAGTGACTAGTGAGTGCAGCCTGCTTGTGGTGTAGTGCATAAGCTTAAAATTATTGAGTGGGGGAATGGATGGATGGATGGATGGATGCAAAGCTGCTGTCACTAAGCATTCACGTGCAATTACTTGAGCAAAATAAACAAACAAACAGAGGACAAGCCTACTCTGCCATGAACTATCTGGAAATTTGAAATGATTTAACATTATAATTAGTTCATCCACTTGTATTAGATTTTGTGTCCAAACTGATAATAAAAATCCTCATTTACCATTTTACACGTATCAACTCATCGTTGGTCGAATTAACCTCATTATCCGATCAAATTCAGACGAGATTATCTGATACACATCCGTCCAAAATTTTGGTGAAACACTTGCAAATTTTATTTGTGTGCATCTCATTGGTTGCTTTTGATAAATTAAAGTTGATTTGATGAGTCTTACGGAGTTTTATTCTAGGGAGTTCACTTCCTCTATGTTCACATGGTTTGATCAACAATTGATGTGCTACATTTCTCATGTCAAGCACAATGAGACTTTAGTCGAATTGCAAGCAACCTATGAGCTAGTTAGGCGAATCGTGGCTACATGAAAGGGTAGTTAAGGCATTTGGTCTACTTGATTCTCAAGTTAGTATTGACTTTATTTGTTGCAACGACAACGTGTGAAAGAGCCTATGCAATTATGAAGTTCATAAGAAAAGGCTATTCATAATTGAATAAGTGACCCATTCCTGAATGAGTGTTTGATTGCATTATTTATAATAAAAAACCTTAAATTTCAAAATAAGTGATAAATCTAATTTACAGAACTTTCAAACTATGAAAAAACTTCATGACTTATTGTGAAAAGAGTTGCAATTGAGTATTTTATTAAATTTTTTCATTGAATTATATCCTCAACAAATTTGGGTCAATGACCATTGACCGGAAGCCACCAAAATCTTTCTCCTCTTACTCAGTCATTCTTTTTTACCCCTAACCTGCATAGCTTTACATATAACATCAAGCTACAGAAACATGTACAAAGTAGTGAGTCATTGACACATTGATTTAGGCGATATGGATATAGAACAAAGAACTACTGGTTATGATAGTTATTTCAAATTTTGGTTATAGATTTTAAGGACCAACCGATAAGTTATCAATAATCGCGTGTCTTGAGACAATAATAATTTATAAAACATATTGGTTGGATTTTGCTACTTCGATCGAGTGACATAACATAGGATAGATTTTCAAGGTCGTATTCCCACTGATTATCGAATCTATTGTGACTTCAAGACTTCATTACTATCTAACTGATAAATTGGTTGGTGGATTATGCCAAACAATAATAAGGAAACAAAATTGCAATCGAAGACGAACTCAATAGAGATTAGAGATAGTGTACTTGGGACTGGTATCCCTCAGCTCTATCAATGCAATTGAATGAGTGGAACCTCCATGTACTACCCAAATCCTTTTATGATACAAGAATCTACTAGCTAGACTAGTAGCTTAGTCAATGGTCATGCACTTAGAGACATTTCAAGGTAACTACTTGATTCCATGGTCATGCAACCAAATAATCCCAAGAGTTTGAGGCTTAGGGGTCGTTTGAAAGTTGCGATTGTTAAATAGATGTATTGTTGAGAATGCATGTATATTATTATACATGTATTGTCGAATTTGATGCATTATAGAATACAACGTTTGGTATGTGTGATTGTGTATGTCGCATAAGCTAAAAGCTTAGACAAAACAATCTCAACTCAACTATCTCAACAATCACAACTAAAAGTTGAGATATAACAATCACTCAAAATGAGTGATAGTTTCTGTCACATCACAGAAACAATCCATGTATTGTTTCTGCTAAAAAAACAAAAAAACGATGCATTGTAAACAATACATCCATAATGACAATTTCAACAAAACTATCGCAACTTCCAAACGACCCCTTAGATTCGTAAATTGGAAAAAAGTCCAATGACAAATGAGACTTCAATACTATGTGAGTTCTAATCTCAACCTGAAAAGATGATTGCAGTCAAATACATAACCTATTTGGTTCATCTCACCAATCTAGCTTGGATAATCTCACATCTCTTATGATCAGTTGGGCACTTTTGATTGCTTCTTATTTTATTTGTGTTTTGTAATCTATTTTTTCTTTTATCATAAAGATAATTGCTTCACCATTATAAAAAGAAGAAGAAGAAAAAAAATTGTTTCAGTTCCATCTTTTGGTGCAGTTTGATTCGATCACATCTAATGGACGCATTACATCGTCCAAACCTCCCCCATCTGATCAAGAAACGCACCTAGTTGGGAATCACCATATCATTGTTAATTATTATTTCATTACCTAAAACTCTCATCAATAGATATCCTATTTGGCGTCCAAACTCCAACCCAACGAACCTATAAGTAAAGAGGTGGTCTGACACATTCATTCTCACCACATCCCAATCACAAACCTGAAAGCTTCTTAATCCACAATTAATTAAGTACTGCTTTCAGGCTTAAACTTTGGGGCAATCAATAGAGACTGATTAATCGAGGAAATTAAGGCAATATGGCGAAGACACAAAGTCTGTTGATTATTGCCTTTATCTGGGTTCTGGCCGTGGCCTCCATTATCATGTCTGTCGCTGCCATTCGCCCCAGTAGTACTACTGCAGCCATTTCCAGTAGCAGCTCACAGACGAATAATGTTCAGCCTCAATGGCACGGCCATCATTGGGGTCACCACCACGGCCACGGTGGTGGTAAGTATCATTACTGTCACATAATATATCTCTTTCGTTTTAATTCGTTTCCAAATTATAAGGTTCTCCTCTTGTTTCTAATTAATCAATGAATAGTAGTACTATTTCTTGTCTGGGACGGCTGAGTTTGATATGTTCTTTCCTTCGTATGCTTGATTTTTTTCAAGAACATGACCGGAAGTTGTGAATGAAGTGAACCCGCCATATCGATGAAGCTAGCGGGATGTGGTGTCTACTATCTATCTATCCTCAAAGTGATGTTGGAGGAGTGTTCTACTATGTACAAGCCTGCCAATGTTACACAATAATGTTGTCTTACAGAGATTATTATATATCCACCTTATTTCATGTCATTTTATATATGATTTTCGGTTCTAAATTCCAACTATGAAATTATCACATTAATAAAAGTTAAATATTTGTGTCACTAGTACTGTTTCCTTTCCAGCAATGCAGATCACTTGAAAAACAGTAGTACTAGATTGGTCGAATACAAAATTTCCTTATTATTGTAAATAACTTTATAAAAAGCAATATTTTTTTATTTCTGTATAACTTTTACTTCATATATTTTGCAACTCAGTTTAATATAAACAAAAACTCAAAAATTAGGAGGCATTTGTTGCTAACCGTTGTCATTGCTTGGGTTGAAAGAGCAGTTGATGTAATGAAAAAGTGAAGAACCACTTCAAAATCATATGAGTAATGAAATTATTAATGATTTTTCGGTGGGGTATCTTAACATCTTTCGTAATTGTATTTTAGAAGTTTCTCAAAATATGAAAACACATTTTGGACTTATGTGAGCAAGTGTAAAGATTGTCATGAATTTGATAGGAGAGAAACATATTGAAGGTGTGAATGAATCACTCATTTTAGAGTGTATTTTTGCCCCCACTACGATCTCTAGTAGGATTAGGCAAACCAGCTGTTAGAAACAAACAATTTACAGCTTTTCATTATTTCGTATTATTGTCGGTTTTGATAATTGGGGGATCATTTGGGGTAATTTTATTATATGGGTAGCAGTTAGGCATTTTGCGGATTATATAATCTGCAGTAGGGAGTTATTTTTGTCATTAAGCAATCAATTACAGAAAACCTAAATCCTAATCTTCCCCTCTCTCTCTCCCCCCTAAGCGCCGAACTCTCTCTCTCCCTCCCTCTCTTCCCTTGGCCGATCGGCAGCCAACTTCCCCCCTCTCTTCTTCCTAAATTCCCTAATTCTAATCCCTAGCTTGATCAATCCCTAGTTGGTCTAGCTAATTCCCCAATTCTACAACTGTTAGAAACTTTGTTTCTAACATCTGGTATCAGAGCCCGGTTCCGATCGGTGAGTTCTTCTCAACTCCACCAGGGACAGCTTGGAAACCGGAGAATCAACGATGGTAACGACGAAATCCATGAAGGCAGCAGAGAAAGCGGAGAAGGCGAATCAGGCGGGTGACAGGAGCGCCGATGCAGGCGACGACGGGGTCGATGGGGCTGTGGAGGATCTGACCGGCAATGAGGAACTGAGGAGAGACTTGGAGGCGCAGGCAGAGAGACAGGCGCGGGTGGAGGAAGAATTGAAGGGACTGCAGGCGAGGGCTAGGGATCAAGGCCAAACCCTTGATGCTCTGGCAGGGGCTGTGAAGGCACTGGCGGGGCAGGTGGGTGACTTGGTGGAGGCCCTGAAGAAATCAGGGATCGAAGCTGGCGGCGGCGGCCAGCTGCACGGGGAGGACGGCGCGCCAGGGGAGGGATCGACCTCGGTGGAGGCGCCCGGCGACCACGGCGCCGCACGGCCCTCGTCGAACACGGCGGCGGACGGGCGTGGTGAGAGGGGCGGGGCGGCGGCCAACCCTAACCGGCCACTGGGGTTGCGTGCGGGCCATGTCTCCTTTGGCCCAACAATCAAAGATGGGCTGCTTCCGACCCCCTCGGCCCAGGAGAAGGCGCGTGCGCGGGGCAAGGCCAAGATGGCCGAGTACGTGGATCCGAGTCTGCAAATGGGCCTGGATGAGGAAGAGTTGATGGACTTGGAGCAGGAATACGATCGCGGGCCCGGGCCTAACGAGTCGAGTGGGCCAGGGGCGGACTACAGCAGGGAGGAAGGAAGTCAGATGGGCCGCGCGGGGCTGGAAGGCGGCCCAGGCGGGGGGCGGCGCGAGTTGGGCCGCGGCTGGGAGAGGAGGCGGCCGAGCCCTATGGGCCGAGAACCCGCGGGCCGAGCTGGGTCGAGTCGGACCCCGAGCAGGCGGGTCGAACCCGGATGGGTCGAACCCGGATGGGTCGAGCCCGGTCGGACCGCATCCGGTCGGACCGAACCTGG